TCGCTCGTCCTTTCGTTCATTTTTCCACTCGCTTCCTCGTCCTTTTGGTCGTTTGCTCATTGTTTCGTTCGTCATACGCTCGTCCTGTAATTTGTTTGTTTGCTTGTCCTTTCAATCGTTCATTCGCTCATCCTTTCATTTGTTTGCTCATTCTTTTTTTTTGTTTATTAACTCGTTCTTTCATTTGTTTGTTCGCTTGTCCTTTTGTTTGTTTATTCGCTTATCCTTTCATTTGTTTGCTCATCCTTTCGTTCGCTCGTCCACTTGTCCTTTCTTTCGTTTGTTCACTCGTCTTTTCGTTTGTTCATTCACTCGTCTTTTTATTTGTTTGTTCACTAGTCATTTCGTTCGTTCATTCACTCATCCTTTCATTTCCTTGTCCACTTGTCCTTTTGTTCAGTTTTTCGCTCGTCCTTTTGTTTCTTCATTTGCTAGTCATTTTGTTTGCTCGTTCACTCATCTTTTTGTTCGTTTATTCATTCGCTTGCTCGATTATCCATTCGTTGGCTCATCCTTTTGTTGGTTAATTCATTCGTTCTTTCATTCGTTTGTTTGTTCATTCGTTTGTCTGTTCGTCCATCTGTCAATCCTTTTGTTCATTCTTTAGTTTGTTCATTCACTTGTCCTTTCATTCGTTTGTTCGCTCGTCCTTTTGTTCGTTCATTCGCTCATCCTTTGATTCGTTTGCTCATCCTTTTATTCCCTTGTCCACTCATCCTTTCATTCGTTTGTTCGCTCATTTATTCGTTTGTTCATCCTTTCGTTCGTTCGCTTGTTCATTCACTCATCCTTTCGCTTGTTCGTTCATTCGCTTGCTCGCTCATCCTTTCGTTCGTTCGTTCAGTCATGTATTCACTCGTTCCTTCATCTGTTCGTTCGTTTGTTCTTGCATTCACTCATTCCTTTGCCTGTTCTTCGTTTGTTCATTTGTTCGTTCATTTGTTTATTCATTTGTTCATTTATTTACTAATTATTCAATTTAATTTGTTTAACTACTCATTGTTATATAATCCAGTATTGTTTTAGTATCACTTAGTAAATTGTGGTGTTTATAAATAGTTGGATTGTAATTTGTTTTTTCCCCTTATAATTTCAAGTAGCAAAAGCTGTAATAACCTTGATATATTCTTTTGACTTATGGGTTAACTTCTGTCTGTGATTCAGCATCAGCATTAATAGTGTTTTTTTTTTTTTTTTTTCAGCAACCTTCTTGCTGTCTGGCCGTTTTGCTACACTCTAAAAACTGCTGGGTTGAAAACAACCCAATTTGGGTTGTTTTGGTAACCCAGCGCTGGGTAAAAAAGGGACAAACCCAACGCTGGGTTACTTTAACCCAGCAAGTTGGGTTACAAGTTTAACCCAGCATGCTGGGTTGTGATTTTAACCCAACTATTAGTTAAAAATTACTACACTGCTGGGTTGAATGTAATCCAAAATGGGTCAGAAATTTAATCTAGAAACTGATGATTAAAATCACTAAAATAAAAACAATTCTACAGCAATACATAGTTGTTCAGTAATGGAATTTTATTTATGACAAAAGATAAAATGTGTCCAAATGAATTTGAGATTTTTTCCATCTGCACCTCAGCATTAACCCTTTGACTGCCTGCTCTACCAAATGGTTGACCTCGTTTTTACTGTTTTAAATAATGACTGTTAAAGTCACAAGAAAAAAGATGATTTAGTGTTCAAAATATTTCTTTTAAATATATATATATATATATATATATATATATATATATATATATATATATATATATATATATATTTTTTTTTTTTTTTTTTTTTTTTAATTGGTCTTACACATAATTTTTCAGATTTTTCATAATTCTGGTACTTTTACCATAAACATACATATCAATCATTTGGTAGAGGTTGATATTTTAGAAATTATAACATGTGTTAAAATGTACTGATTGTGTTCAATAGCGACATTAGCAGTTGAGAAATGCAATCCAATTTTTTTTCTTGAAAGGGTTGTTAAAGGGTTAAGACGATTTCTGTGAAAATTTATCAAACTGTATCACAGAAACACTGACTAAAGTTCAGTAACAATGCATCAGACTGAAATCAGACAAATTACCTTAAGAAAATGCATATTTGAAATACATTCAAAAACATTTGCATCATTTATAAATCAGGAATCATCAGTAAGGCAATTGCAATGTTATTGCAGAGTAGAGAAAAACAATAGTATAAGGAAGTAATAATGAAAATGCATCTAAATGACTGAAGTCAGAAAGTAATTTGAGCACAAACATCAACATATTCTCATATAAATCATCAACTGCAATGCAGAAAAAAATATGTGAAAGTAATAATGAAAAGGCATCAAACAGCTTGAAAAAACAAAACAAACAATAAAAACTAAGAAAATACAAATTTTATATTAAGAAAAAATAAGAAAACATTTTATAACTTTCCCTTTAACAATTATGTGCAAACATCAATATATGAGCTATAAAGCAATCATCAGTAAGGATGATCAAGTTCAATGTAAATGCAGTTTTGAAGAAAAAACAGATATAAAAGTTAAAATGAAACCTGAGGATGGAAGCATTTTAAAACAAATTTGAAATAGGAAAACTTTTTTTAACTTTTACTCGAACAATCATGTGCAAACATCAATCCTGAGATATAAAAGAGTCTGTAAGAAACATTAGTTGCAATGTAACTGCAGTGTAGAGTGTCTTAAAAAATATCGAGTCCATTATTATGTGCCGTCATCATAGCAAAGAGAAAAGAAATCAGTTATTAGAAATGAGTTATTAAAACTATTCTTTAGAAATGGGTGTCATGGTGGCACAGTGGGTAGTACGATTGCCTCACAGCAACAAGGTCGGTGGTTTAAGCCTCAGCTGGGTCAGTTGGTGTTTCTGTGTGGAGTTTGCATGTTTTCCCCGTGTTCGTGTGGGTTTTCTCTGGGTGCTCCTTTTCCCCCACAATCCAAAGTACAAGTTAAAGAACACAGAATCCAAGGAAGCAGTGAGGTCACAGTATTAATTATTACTGTTTGTCAGCAAAAATTAATGCTAGCAGAACCCTTACTGCTAGTGTCTCCTCCCCAGGATGTCCATAAACCACAGTCTGCCACACCAGGGAACACTGCTTGGGGTAGTTCACACCAAAGATGTAGAATGCTTTATAGCAAACGTCCACTTTGGCAAGTAATGTACTTTGCAATAATAAATAGCACAGCACGTGAGCAAAGGCTTGAAAGAAGTGGTGGTCTCCAAGGATGAGAACATGAGGAAACTCAATAGATTCTTGAATTCAATGGATGAAGATACTCAGCAATATTGGTCCCAATCTGAAAAAATAAATAGAAGTAAGATTTATTAAAAACTCAAAAGTGTAAAAGTTAAATATCTTTAGAGTTAACTTTAGAACACCTAAAATACCTTTAGAAGCAATTAAGGCCATAACACACCAAGCTATCAGCCAGTGTTGGCATTAGTTAACCACTGACCATGGCACCATGCTGCAATTTTTTGGCCCGAGTGAAGATGACAATGCAACAACAGGTTTGCCTAAGGAACTTTTTTTAATAAGTAATAGTAAGGCAAGATGAGCATTTGAAATTATTAAGTATTTAATTGTGTTTTCTTAATGAGAATAGATAAGACCCTTCTTCCTGAGCTGGGACTGTTTGCAACCGTATTTGTATAATTTGAAGCCGCATTTAAATTTTCTTTAAAAACTTCAAAAATGAGGCACAATCTCAGTTCAAGATGGATAAAATTGCTGAAATATTTTCCTAAAAAAAAAATCTTTCTGACTGAAGAAAGAATGACATGAACATCTTGGGTGACATCTTTTTATGTTTTACGCAGCAGATGCCCTTTCAACTGCAACCCATCACACTCTCATTTACACACACACTATGGACAATTCAGCTTACCCAATTCAGCTACACCGCATGTCATTGGACTGTGGAGGGGAAACCCATCCAAGGCTCAAACCAGCGACCATCTTGCTGTGATGCGACAGCACTACCCACTGCGCCCCCATGCCACCCTAATAACAAACATAAAAATAACATTTTCATTGTTAATAAAATAACTAAGACAATCATTATGCATTAAATGCATCATTATGCATCGAGAAACCTTTAATTGAATCCTTACCCTCTGAATTGTATTCAAATTGACCTAAAAACGAGGAAAGGTTCGTTCCTGTGCTAAAAATAAAACAAGAGAATGTCACTGGTTGCATGAACAGCAGATTTTAAAAAATAACCAGACAAAAACAAATTGGCATTAGAGTTCAATCTCTCAGTTTAAAGTGTTGAAGTGGCTAATGATTACTAGGGCTGCCCCCTAATAATTGAATAACCATTAGTCAACTAAAAATTTATTATTCATTCATTCATTTTCTTTTTAGCTTTGTCGCTTTATTAATCTGGGGTAACCACAATGGAATGAACCACCAACATATCCAGCATAAGTTTTATGCAGCGAATGCCCTTTCAGCTGCAACCCATCACTGGGAAACAAATACTCATTCACACACATACACCATTGACAATTTAGTCTACTTAATTCACCTTTACCACGTCTTTGGAAACCGGGGCACCTGGAGGAAACCCACGCGAACACGGGGAGAACATGCAAACTCCACACAGAAAGGCCTATTGACCCAGCCAAGGATCGATCAAGTGACCTTGTTGCTATGAGGCGAATGTGCTACCCACTGGTTGCAGAAAAAAAGTCCACACTGGCAAAGTCAATGTATGCTGCATGAATCCGCTGTGTAAAAAATATGCTGGATAAGTTGGCGGTTCATTCCGCTGTGGCGACCCCAGATTAATAAAGGGACTGAGTCAAAAAGAAAATGAATTAATGAATAAATGGTTTATTAATAAATCTGTAATTATTCAACTAATGCTTCAAATGAACATCACAAGTCAACCAGACAAATGTTTAGACAAGGGCAGCCCTAATGATTACAATGAACCAAGTAAAATATTATTACATACCTTCAAATGTGGGGATTAACTCCTCAAGATTGCATTCTTTTAGTTTGATTTTCACGCAATTATCCATCTGAAAAAGAATAACAGATAAAAGCGTTTAAGCAAAATTAAGTAAAAAAAGATCATGTTAGCCAAAAGTCACTATATCACAAAAATACTCCTAAATGATAATAATTATCCAGGGTGTCACATAAAACGGTGGTCAAACTTTTTCTTTTTGCAGTCGAAGATGATTAGGTTGGAATTAGTCTTAGCTCAGACATTTCCGTTAGCATGAAACGACCCTTACATACAGGATTAATTAAAGATAGCTCAAATCACGTCTAGAATGTAAAATGCTCATAGTAAATTAATAACATTTGCTATTCAATGTACAGATGTACAGCTAAACAAAATGTACAAAAAAAAAACATTGTTAGAAGCTGAATTCAACACTTATGCATCAAAGTATTGTCACAAAAATCCATGAACAAACTTAAGAAATACAAGAGTAAAAATACTACTTACTGCTTTACAGTTAACACCCCAGAAAGATCACAAATCACAGTAACGTTACTTACTGTCATCACCTAGCCAACATAAAAATCTGTGTCATTCAAAAGGTATTTTATTACAATAAAAAGCTCCTAAATTATCCAAGGTGTTGTGTTTATAAAGTGGTCATCAAACATGCTTCACGTTAGTTTCATTAGTTACCTTATACTTTTCGAGCTCCTTCCGATGCCATGCGCGCTTACCCGTCCACCGATCAACAGGCTGGGCGTGAGGTGGAGCAACAGGTCGGGCGTGAGGCGAGCACAGGTCAGGAGTTAGGCGGAGCAACAGCTCGGGCGTTAGGCGGAGAAACAGGTCCGGAGAAACAGGTCGCCGTTAGGCGGAGAAACAGGTCCGGAGAAACAGGTCCGGAGAAACACGTCGCCGTTAGGCGGAGAAACAGATCCGGAGAAACAGGTGGCTCGTCAGGCGGACTCGGAGCAACAGTTCAGCCATAAGGCGAGCACAGGTCAGCGTGAGGCGGAGCAACAAGTCGGCCATCAGGCGGAGAAACAGAAAAAAAAGCGCGTGTATATTATACTAAGTAAACTAAGTGTGTTATTTCTTATGAAAATTGTTAAATACACACTAAATAACTTACGTCTCACACAGAATTTCACTCGCTTCCCCTCAAAGACAGCGCAAAGAAAATGGCGGTTTCTCACGTTGATGTCCCTGCATGTTGACGTGACGTGCGTGCTCTCTTTCACGTCCGCGTTCCCAACCCAGCACTGCTGGGTTATAGATAAGGATCGATTTTCAACCCAAATTGGGTTGAATCAACCCAATTTTGTTACCCAGCAGTCTCAACCCAGCATTTGGGTTAAAAAACCAACCCAGCGTTTTTTAGAGTGTACCCACTGCGCCACCATGCTGCCCCACTGTAGATCAGTAAAACAATATTTGATCAAACTTTTGCTCTCAGAATCAAATGATATTCTGGCCAGAAACTGAAATTCAGCCAACAGTAATACTGATGACCATATTGCTCTTGATTCATCCGCTGGTAGATTAAACTATCTCTCTGTGTGCCACTTGTTTTTTACACCATGTCCGTCGCCAGGACAGTAATTGCCTGCTGTAATAAATCAAAGGCGTTACAGGCGATTGTCATTTTTCATTAGCGCGACAACAGGTCAATGCAGGCTCGCAGCTATTAGTCAGAAATTTCCTCTAATGGCATATCAATAACTCTCTGACACCTCGCGCACCAACTGTCTGCATGATCTTTTCTTTCTTTTCTTTCGTATAAAAGAGCCTCGTTTTTTTTAAGAAGAGGCATGACGTGCATTAAAGCTTTTGAAATGACAATTTCTTCCTGGCATTGCCTTAATTGCTCAGTTTATAAAACAGAAACAGAGGGTGGAATTTAAATAGCTTGAAGTCAGTCTTTTATACAGTAAGACAGACACATTCAACTGAAATGTGCTTATTTTTGTGATGTGGCCATTCATCTTTCTCTTGTCAAATGCACAAACACTCATTATGAATAGGCATCTGGCAATATGCAGCTCGTGATGAATGTGAGGATCGCCTCATGTAGACAGTGCGACAAAGTCAATTCGCCTCTATTTGAGAGAAATTAGGCCAATGCAGTCATTTTGGCCTGAGTGTTTGTCTTTAGACCCCAATGAATGAAACCTCGGAGCGCTTTTTTTTAAACACTGGCTCTTTTTCATGTCATTAGAAGCCTTACAGATGGAGTAATGAGGAAAGGCAGCTCTTCGGTCCAACTCACAATGCCAACAAACTGCTTTGAGTCTTGGCTATATATATTAAATCAGGTCCGTTTCTTGGGAGTTTACAGTAGGTGACGTGACTGGTAGCGATTAGTATGTTGATATTTACCTGATATTTGTATGATATATAGTATGGCACTGATATTTACCTTATTCGAATTTACACAATTTTTTAATTTTCCTTATTATATAAAGTTTGTGCATGTGTGTGTGTTTTACACACTTGATGTTTAAGAGTTTCAACCTTTCACTGCTTTTTTTTTTCTATTTTTGCATATTGACTGAATTTTTATGTGTATCACATGTTTTAAAAAAGTGATACAGATGCACACATAATTGCACTACTGTCTACTTGTTTTTCATTTTGAGGTGATAAATTAGATTTTTAGAATGATAGAAACATTCTCTAAATTGTGCCTTTGTCCATTTCACAATCATGTCCAATATTATTTTATTTTTTAACATCTATTTTGCGTGTGTTCACAAGAACCACAACATTCACCAAATGTCATACTATTCCAATAGAGCAGTTATTTTTACAGTTTCAGGTTCAATACTGAAGTGACAAGTTCAAAACTGCCTCCCTAATAAGCCAAACAGGTGTCTATGAGGAGCAACCTGTTAATCATTTTTGTTGCTTTCACACAAAATGCATGCAATAAACATTCTCTACAAGTAGCTACAGTTTCTACATTTTCAGCACTTTTTTTCCAATGCTAACAAACTCACTTCCACCCTCTTAACAATATTTTCAAAACAGACTAATTGCAAATTTCATTCATTTTTTTGCAAAACGACAATCTTTACAAACTGATGGGAATTTCAGCTGAAAGCCTACTTCATTTATTTTATTTTATTTTATTTTTTTGTAAAAAAAAAGGGATAGTTTAGAACTTATTTTGTTAGGAAATGTGGATAATAGCAAATGCTGTAATTCAATAGGAAAAGAAGAGTTATAAATAGTGATAAAGATACTGACTGTAGGAAAAACAAAGAGTATCTAATTGATGGAAGTACAATGCAATCTAAATTTCTACATTTTAAATGTACCCAACATTTTGAAGTGGAACAATACATGACAGAAATTGTGTTGTTGTATGACTTTCCTCTCTAACTTGCAGTTTAAGAAATGTTTTGAAAAATTTAAACTGATATTCACATGTAATATTTGCAACAAATTACAGCATTTATAAAAAAAATCTTCACACATTCTTTATTAATATAATAATTATAAATGTGTATTATTTCTGTAATTCTCCTGGTTATTGCTTTGTTTAAATCAGTGTGTTCAGAATGAAATGTATGTTTTCTGAATAAGAATTGCTGTCAGTGGTTTGGTGAAAAAAGCTTATTTTGAGCAAAAATAAAAAAATAAAATAAAATAAAATAAAAAAACGAACAAAAAACAACTGTTGTGTTGGCCTGAGTCAGTTTTACAGGTGAGCTGAACTGTTCAGTCTAGAGTCATGTTTGTGATGCACACCAGTGTTGGGGGTAACACATTACAAGTAACGCGAGTTATGTAATAATGTTAATTTTCTAAGTAACGAGTAAAGTAAAAATTACAGTAAGTAATAATATTTGAGTTACTTTTTAAAAATATTTAGTTACTTTTTTTTATTAGCTTTTAAAAAATCCATTGTTGAATTAAAATGATCATAGTCACGTTGAATCCTACACACAATGAGGGAATGTAGGAACAGACAGAAATAAAGATGGCACAGCCTTACATTTCCCAGATAGAAATATTCACTTTATTTTGAACACATGGAAGAAAAGGAAAAGAGGATCATCTGAATGAACAGTAATTTTACTTTTTAATAAGCAAACGATTTTTTGTTCAATAGACGTCTAATAGACATCTAAATGTAAGCAGCTTGGCTAAAACAAGGATAAACTTTGGTTGTCAGTGAAAATCTTATAGACATCCAAGAATAGCACAAAACTAGACTAGTCATCAAATAGACTTTATATGTGCAGTCATTCATTTCGGTTTATTTGATGACTAGTCTAGTTTTGGCCTATTCTTAGAGGTCTATTAGGTTTACAATAACAGCCCAAATTTAGCCTAGTTTTAGCCAAGATGACTATGTGTAGACATCTATTAGACATCTTTTAAAAAACAAAAACAAAAAAAAATGTTTGCTGGGTAACATTATCCTACATTGAATAATTTTTAATATGTTTTTTGCTGTTTTAAATGGAAATTAAGGTTATATGGTGTATTTTCAATTACAAAGGAAAAAGAAAAAGAATCAAAATGTCCTGCAAGTTCTGAAGGAGATCAAGCCTCATTCTAGTAAAAAAAATTAACCAAAAGTAACTCAAAAGTAATGTAACGCATTGCTTACCATAAAAAGTAACTAAGTATTCAATTCAATTCAATTCACCTTTATTTGTATAGCGCTTTTACAATGTAGATAGTGTCAAAGCAGCTTCACATAAAAAATCTTAGTAAATGGAAACAATGTAGTTCAGTATTTATTGTTTAAGTTCAGTTCAGCTCAGTTCAGTGTGGTTTATTAGTCACTATTGAGGGCTTAAACACTAAGTAGCAAATTTATCGATAGGTAGCTCTTCTGATCCCAAACCATGCAAGCTAATGGCAAGTAACGCAGCTAATTACTTTTTGGGGAGTAACTCAATAATGTAATGCATTACTTTCTAAAGTGACTGTCCCCATGATTTTAAAAATGTGCTGCACAATGTTTGTTAGCAGTTGAAAATAACTCTTCTCTGGTCAGATGTGCCTGTAGAACATAGAAGGGTTAACAGGATTCTGCTCTACATCACACATGATGCCATTTACTTTGGAAAATTTTGGTAAAAAAATAAACCTTTGTGCAATCCTTTCATCTTTATGGGGTTCCATTTGTGCCAAATCCCTACGCCTGCTTTCGGTTTACTTTTGTCTTCGTCTACTCTCATTGCCCGTTATGTTCAGCATTGTTGGCGTACATGTTGTCTGTTGATGTCATCTTAATCTGTTGTCCCGTCTGTTTTTCTCTATTTTGTACTGTCATATTCTATGGGTTATTCTGTCATGTGATCTGTTGTCTATTCATCTGTACTGTCATCTCTACCGTTGTATGCTGTCGCCCTTATGGTCGTCCTTACTGTCGTCTACGCTGTCGTTTATACTGTCATCCTTACTGTCGTCTATGCTGTTATCCATGCTGCAGTTTATTCTGTCATCCTTACAGATCAGATGACAGAATACCCCATGGAATATGACAGTACAAAACAGAGAAAAACCGACAGGACGTCAGATTAAGTCGACATCAACAGACAACATGTACGTCAACAATGCTGATTTTCCTAAACATGCGGGCAATGAGAGTAAGTATATTTTGGCACAAATGGAACCCCATACATCTTGAAACACTCCATAAGTGAGTTGCGTTCTGGCAGCAGCATTTTCTTGTCTTAATCTGACTCTTGATTTGATGTCTTTCGCAGACTCCATCATCAGGATCTTGCACGTAAAGCTCCGCAAATTTGATGACTGTTATTTTGGACTTAAGTGGACTGATTGATTGAGGTCTCTTGGGAACGGGAAGAATAACATTGTTCTTCGCACACCGTGACTTAGGCCCCAATCAGGCAACAGTTTGCACTTGGCACAGCAGGTGAGATGATTTCAGGCAAATAATGACAACTGTGATTATGAGGGGGGCTGAATGTAAAACAGTCTTGGTTTGAGCGTCTCTCGATCTGTAGTTGTGCAGCAGAAAGATCTCTACACCTGGAGCCTGCTTGCTTGTGACATGTTGACGCAGCTGTGGCTTTGGTGGAGAGTTTTAGATGGCAGACACACCACGGTAAACCTGCACCTGTGGGATTGTGGGTAGATGAGTTCAGAGCTTTTGACAGCTGGTACGATGCGTGATTCTGTATTACATTGTCAAAAGCTGTTGTTGTCAAATGCAAGGGTTTGTACTTGTATAGTGTGTGAATTACGCGTGTGGCCTTATTTTTTTTAAACCTAAAGATTTTTGACAAATTATTAGATTTGAGTAGG